TTTATTGTAGTATATATATATATATATATATATATATATATATCATTTTCAAAATTGAAGATTTCATGTATATTTCCTGATTAAAATGAAAAATGCCACATAAATTGAAACAAAAAAGTTACGAACTAAAATGATATTTATTATTCATATAATTATAAATTTTTTAAAAGAAAATTAAAATTAAATTTAATTTAATTATATAAAGAAGAGATTTTCTTATACAGATTTAAAATGAAGAAAATGAAACTATTTAAAATTTTAAATTATATTTTTATGATATATTAAATAAAAAGAATTACATTGCTCATCTTAGCTTGAAAAATGACACTGATCCTTCCCAATGTATATAATTGTGGGGGGGGGGAGGGGAACCATACTCCCACAGTAGTTATAATTTTAAGATCGATTTGGTTGGCAGGAAAAACAGTTAATCAAAAAAAAGTTAAATTAAAATAATTTTAAGTTAAAGTAAAAAATACTAAAAGACTTATTTTTGAACTTGAATTTATTTTAGGTACTATTGTTTAAGTTATTATATTTAATTTTTTTCAAACTCTCTTTTTCTAAAAACTATTTTCAATTATTACCCTCATTGAATATACTCTTTTAAGTTATTTTTAAATTTTTTTTAATTTTCATCAAGTGCTTTGGTATTATCTTTTGTCTGAAATTGTTTATCATATTGTGCTTAGCAAAAGTTAATTTGATTAATTTTTAAAAATAAATTAAATCATATTAATTTAATATTTAATTTTTTAAATATTTTAAAATTATATAAATTATAATATAAATTATAATTTTTTACATATTAATATGATATTAATCAAAAAAATTTATAAATTGCCTTTAAAAATAAAAACGATGATAAGCAATACCAAACGAAGGAGTAACTCTTAAGCCCATTCAAACTCGGGAGCACATGAATATATATACATACCTACAAATTAGAGCACTATAAGTGAAAAATCACTGCACTCAAAAAAATTCCCAAAACTAAAGAACACAGAGAGAAAAATGAGCTTCCAGCGTTTCTACGAAACATGGTTTGATCAACTGAAAGAAATCGTACGTCAACTGAACCAAGTTCCCCGTCCCGCCACCAGTGACCATCACCGTGAACTGCACCAACTCCTCGTTCAAAAAGTTGTCTCTCACATCTACGAGTACTATCGAGTTAAATCCTTAGCTGCAAAAAATGATATCCTCTCTGTTTTCTCCGCCCCGTGGTCTACATCTCTGGAACGTTCTCTCCATTGGATCGCCGGATGGCGACCGACCACCGCTTTTCACCTTATCTACACTGAATCCAGCATTTTGTTTGAATCTCACATCATCGACATTCTTCGTGGCCTCCGATACGGAGATCTCGGTGATCTATCGCCGGAGCAACTCGCTCGCGTTAGCGAATTTCAATGTGAAACTGTTCACGAAGAAAATTCTATCACCGACGAACTCAACGACTGGCAGGCACGAAATCCTAATCTATCTTCCTTTTTTTTCTTTCTTCTAAGGCCACTCTGTCTGTTTACAATAATCGAAATATTCAATTTCAAAAGAATTGAGAAATTAGATCTTATTTGGTCGTCTGAATCCCCAAATTATCATGAATTTTGTTTCAATTAAGTCCAAAATTGCGAGTAATTTGTTGAATTTATCGTAAATGCAGGATGGTGCAAGTGAGATAATTGGTTTGATGGGAGACATAGAAGAGAAGATGGAGAAGCTAGTTGAGATTTTGGAGAAGGCGGACAAACTGAGGATGAAGACGATAGAGAATTTAGTACAACTATTAACACCACAGCAAGCAGTTGAATTTCTTATAGCATCGGCGCATTTACAGTTCGGTATTCGAAAATGGGGAATTAATCATGATCGTCAAAGAGAAAATCCATGAACATTTTCTGCCTTCTTCATCATGCACACTGGTTTGCATGTTGTTAGTTTTTTTTAAAAAAAATAAAAAATCTCAAATTAGAGAAGAAATTTTGGATTTTTATAAAGCTATTATTATTATTTTTTGGATTATTTTTTTAAAAAAAGTGGATGAGTGGCTATAAGAGGTGTAAGCTAACATGCAGTTGATCCCATGCATAGAAACACGTGTTATTCAAACAGCGCGTGAAGATGTGGCGCGCTGTTGAACACCGGTAAGGGGTAATTCTCTAAACTTTTGTTGAGCCTGTATCAACTCATCCAGAATGTAATAGAAAAAAATCTTTTTAAGAATTGTTACACCGTCTCTAATTTTTAGCGGTAATAAATATACGTGTTAATGAAAGTTTTATCGACATTACTCTTCCAGTTTCATTTTGTACGGTGTTTAAGAAGTCATAAATAAAGAAAATAATTTTATAACAGTTAATATAGGATAATTATTTTTAGTATAATGATCCATTAATATAGAACAGAGGGAGTAGTCAATCCAGAGTCAACCACATTTACAAAAAGTTTTAGCTGCTTAAAGAATATATTCAGTTAATTGTTGTTAAAAGAGTTAAGCGTAAAGGGCAAAAAAAAAGTGCCAAAAATTTCAAATTTTTTAATCAAAAGGCAAAATTTTATAGGAACTTTTGTTGAGCCTGTATCAACGTAACTAATCAGAATGTAATGGAAAACAATATTTTTAAGAATGTTACGGCTTTAGCGATAATAAATATTAAATACACATACAAATAATAAGTATTAGAAGCTTTTTTATTGATATTACTTTTTTATCGATATTACTTTTCCTGTTTCATATCAGTTTCACTTGCACCTTGCTTTTATAGTATAATATTTTTTTATGGTTAGGAATAGCGAGATCTGTACGATGCTTAAAAAGTTATAAATAAAAAAATAATTTAATAAGACAATTAATATAGAATAATTATTTTTAATATAAAGATCGATTAATATAGATTAGAGGGAGTTGCCAATTCAGAGTCATTATAGATGTTAATTACATTTAAAAAAAGTTTTAGCTGCTTAAAGAGTATATTCAGTTAATTATTGTTAAAGATATTTTTTAGTGTAATGTAGTTGCTCCTTACTTTGGAGACGTAAATTGGTTTTCCACGTTCATTTTTATTTTATTTGTATGCAAACAAATAGATATTCAGAATTTTTTTTGGTCTAGTTTAAAATTTTATCTTTATTATCACTGATAGTCACATTATAATGTATTTTTAAAGCGTTAAATTTATTTATTAAAAATGTTGTGTATAATTTTCATTTTATTTATTAATTGATATCATGTTAATATTGAATAATAAGTAAGAATAAATGAAAAGAATATTATTTAAGAAAAACAAAATTAAAATGTTTTCAGTCCTTAATTGTTACTATGAATTAAGCTACTTTTTATGTTAGCTTCAAAGGTGAAATCTTTGTTTCATAAAAAAAATTATTAAAATTCATCTAAAAATTAGTTAGCTAAATTTTCATATTTCAAATGATGCCATCTAGAAATAAATTGAGTGAGAGTAATAAACAATTGGGGGTTTTTTTGCGGTGAGTTAGAGTTACACATATATTACTAGTTGAGATTATTTGTGCATGTTTTGGTTGAGTTGAGATTCATTATATAAGAAATAATTATATGAAGTGTAATTATTTTAATTTACTATTTTATATCTTTATCTTTTTGGTTATTTATTTGGTGTCTCGTATTTGCATTGTGAATTTGTGATCTCTTATTAAGAGAGGAGTAATTTTATCCGCTGTCACTTTTTTAATTGTTGTTAATTTTGCAAATGAGGAGAAATAATTTATTATTTCTTTTAATATTACCCTATTATTATTAAATAACTACTTAGTACTACCGTAATTGTTAAATTTAGATTTTTTAAATCATAACTAATAAGATTGATTTTATAAAATAAATCTTTAATAAATATTTTTCAAAATATCAAGTCAATATAGGATCAAATAAATATTATATATTGTTTATGATATTGATTCACTCATTCACTTATATATATCACTTATAACTTTTTATATATATATATATATATATATATATATAGTA